AAAAGAGAGAGATTCTTGGCAATTTCTTTCAATTTTTGAAGTACCAGATCTTCTTTTCATATCAAGGTACTTTCTATTGTTTTTCTTTTTGGTTTTTGCTGTCTGTTCTCATTTTTTGCAGTGGAGATGGTCTGAACGTGCTATTCGCGATGCTTCTTTTTTGGGTGGCGTTTATTTCAGCCGTAGTATTTATTTTGGCATCTAATTGTATATTAGGATGAGGACCATAGGCTCGTAGGTTTTTCTTTTCTTTGGCTTGTACTGTTCGAGCAGTAGAGAGCTAGTGGTTCTTTTAAGGACCATGTAACGCATTTTTTGATGAACACGTAAGGCCTTTGTGGGTTTTAATTAAGAAAAAAAAAAAAAACTTTTTCTATTATTGATAAATATATAATTATGCTACTACCATGACTTTAGGAATATCGTCTCTTAAATGGCATGCATGAGCGCACATCAAACAACTTAAGATAATTGTCTCTTTAGCTTCCATAAAGTGAATAAAAAGTTTGCGTATGCTCTAAGATTGATGATCATCAAGTAAAATTGTAGGAATACATATAATCTTTCGGGTATCTCAAATTCACTTTTTTTTAAGCAACATAAGGAATCTATTTGTTGTAAAAAATGAAATAATTAGTTGAAAGATTTGTGTTCAGAATTGGAACTATAGTTTATAATTACTTAAAAGAATTATGATCATGATATATATTCAGATTGTTGGAACCATAGTGGTAACCAGTTCACTGTTCATTCTTTAGGGTTTTTTCTCTTACAATTGTAAAACAGTCCTTGGTCCAATACTTGAAGGAGAATAATTATTCCTTATCATACGAGAAAAACGGATGTTAATCACGACTCTAGAAATAAATTGAAAGAGTTGTTTCTTCATCCTAATTTTATATCAGTAAGACTCAACATCAAAGAACGATTAGAAATATTCCATTACATGTAGAAATAAATAGGGGTATGTCAATTTCGGGTTCACAGGTCGGGTTTAGCGGTCGAACCCGACTGACCGGTGAAAATGGGTCGACCTAACCACCCGGGTAGAGAAACGGGGTTCGAAAATCGAGCCGGACCGACCCGGTCGTTTGCTGGTGCCCGACCCGACACGAATCCCAGGGCGAAGCGGGTGTGTGCAGGGTGCGGACACTGCAGCGAACGGGCAATGCGCGGGTGCAATGCGCGGGCCAGCGTGCAAGCCGCGCACGGCGGAGCAAAGCGCGACGCGGGTGCGACCGGGCGGCGGGCAGCGGGCGTGGCGCAGGCAGCGCGGGTTAGCAGCTGGCGCGAGCGGCAGCGGGCAGCGGCGGATTCAATTTTTTTGAATTATTTTTGAATTAAACGGGTTCGCGGGTTGACCCGGCAACCCGTCGGGTCAACCCGAACCCGACCCGTTTTTCAAATGAGTCAATTTCTGGAACCTGAACCCGACCCGTTTTGAAATCGGGTCGGGTCCAACCCGGATTTTTCGGGTCGGGTCCAGGTCGGATTTTCGTGTCGTGTCAAATATTGACACCCCTAAAAATAAACATATACAAAATCATCTTTTCATCAAAAGAATAATGGATAATAGTCCAATATAATTTTTCGCTCTCAACATTCCACATGCATAAGTAATTAGATTGTCAAATGAATATATCTATAACAGGAAACGAGTCGGGTCCGGGTTGAAAATTCTAACATGTTTATAAAAACAGTACTTAGGGTTCTGGTCGTGTCAAATAGTAGCATGTTAGAATCAAATTCGACCCAAACCCGACCCGCAACCCGATTTTGATACCCTCGTGTAAAAGAAATATAAATCGATGTATGTGAAGTTCTAAAAATTATGAAAATGTCTAAAAATTATGCATCAAATATTTTTAGAGTTATAAATGTTACTTTGTAAAATTATGGTTCTCATGATGCATGTCTTTTATTGAAGAAATTCTACAAAACATTCTTAGGCTTGTACACCATCAAAGAAGGTTCTGAGCATTCTTATTTAGATTTCAGAATTTTTAAAATCAATTTGTGTTAATATTATTATTCCAAGTGAGTTAGAAAAGCTTTATAATAATGTTAAAACAACTTTTATGTCTAATAGAAATATTATTTCACCCTCATTCTTTATGATCATAGTTCATCTACTCAGTCATTTAACAAAGGAAGTCAAATTAGATTATCCTATTAAATAAAGATAAATAAATCCATGTTAGAGGTAATATGTGATTTTTACCCTCTATAGCAGCACGCTCAAATTCATGGAAACTTATTAGGTCAGGACACTGGATGTAGAGATACGTCCGGTGTCCAATAAGATATTGACATGTGGAATGTATACGTGTCGCGGAATTTTAAATCAAGCATGTCAAAAGCGCAGGTAAAGTACAGGTAAAGCGCAGTCAAAGTACAGTTAAAACGCAATCAAAGCATAGTCAAAAAGTGCAGTCTGCATGACAAATTTTAATTGGATATATCCGGACATATTTTTAAGTCCGATGTCCAGATCTAATAATTTTCCCAAATTCATAGGAGGAGAATAAGTGCATTATCAGCCATCACATCATTTTGTTCATGAGCTAGCTCTAGGACCATATGCTGGCTTATGACTTATAAGTATTATTTTCTTCTTTTTTTAGAAATTTGTCTTACAATCTATTCCCTAGAAGTTCATTATAATAAATTACATTTTATTCAGATGAACAAAATGCATTTATAAAACATATGGGGCAGAGTGCATGCATTGATATATAAATAGAGTATGCCTCCAAGTACAGAGAAATTATCCTGTGTGGATGTCAGACGCAGCTCTATATTCAGAGACGAATTTGGTGCAGCCACGTCAGCGGTACCGAGCAGTACTGAGTCGCAGTACCAAACCAAGGGGTGACATGACGCATACTGATTGGTCTCTGGAAGACGTTCGGAGTCCACACAAAATATTTTTTCCCAAGTACCTAGGTGCATCTCAAAGTAAATGTCAAAGATGCCACCTAAAATATCTGTGTTCATTCTTTGGGATCATTTTGGGAGTTATTTCTAGACATTGTATTGGCACTTATTTGTTTCTTAGATCGGCAAAATAAGGGTATGAATTTTAATATTTATTTATTATTTATTAATAATCATTTAGTATGTTAAAATCGCAATCAAATTTTAAATTTCCTTGACATTTGTATCACTTTATTCCTTAATCTATTGGTGTTAAATGACGAAAATATATAAAAGGCTAATTTGAACTGAGCATTAAGAAAGTAGATCTATTGAGAAAATTATGAAGGCTGTCCTAGATAATATTGATGTGACATAACGATAGTGAGCCCACTAAAAAGACCAAGTTAGTACCTCTCTTGAATTTAATTCTTGGTTCTATAAAAAATAAAAGAATATTATAGTTAACTAAATACTAAATAAAAAAAAGTGGCGAGAAATACTATAAATGCAAATAAACAAATTTATCTTCATAAATTGACAGTGGCGGAGCCAGAAAATTTATTGAGGGGGGCCTAAATTATTTTATTAAAATCTCCCTCAACTTTTTTCATCCGGGCTTGGGACCGGCATTGGCAGTTTTAAAAATTTTGATTTAAAAGCAAACTACTAAACATAAAATGAAGTACACTTACAAGTTACAACTTATACCTTCTATTCTTCATATTTTGAAATAACTGAATAATAGTATCATTATCAATACAATCTAAAATTTCTTTTTCAATATAAGCGATTAAAGTATCGTTCATCCATTGATCTCCAATTCGATTGCGTAGCCGATTTTTTATGATTGCCATTGCAGAAAATGCTCTTTCAACTCATGCTGTTGCAACGGGTAGTACCAATGCCAACTTCAATAACCTAAAAATAAGAGGATATAGTATTTCCTTTCTGCTTTGAACCATTTTTTCAGCAAGACTTCCTATATCCTTTAATAGTGAAAATTGTACATCAAGCCGCATATCCATAATGTAAGTTTCTAGCTGATTATCAAGAATCATCAAATCAGAAGGAGTGAAATCACTTGGATATAAGTTTGCCATTTTAATCAACTTTTCTTTGTTGAATGCACAAAACAAATTTGATGGATTTAAACAAGCAATGCACACAAGTAATTCAGTATTAGCTTCTGTGAAACGATTATTCAACTTGATCCGATTGAAGATTCTCTAGATCTGTTACTGTGTTTTTTGATGATTCACCTTCAGCTCGAATTCTTTCTTTATTTTGTTCATCATCTTTAATTTCTGTACTCTCTATTGGTGTTGATACGGAGGATTTTGAGGACTTCTTAAAATATTTCTCCATAATTTTTGTACAAATCTAGATTTGTAAACTACATAAAACATAAAAAATATAATCTTATTATAAAAATAAAAACGAAGCACAAAACAAATCTAAATCAAATTCAGATTTTTTATTTAGGATTCCATGTTTTTTAAATTACCTATGACCACCAAACAAGTAAACAAATTCATATACTTTATTTTTTAAATCTTAAACAATACACTAAAACACTGACATCAATTTTCAGTAAATGAAATTATAAGTTTAGATATAAAAAAAAAACTTATAACCAAAATAAAAGGATAGAAAATAAAATAACAAAAAAAAAAAGTTAAGTTCCTTACCTACAGCCGGCCCGATCCAAGATGGAATAATGGAATGGAGAGCTCAGAGTAGCAGCCGCTGTGAGAGAAATGGGAAAGCGCGGACTCACCGGCACGGCGTATGCGAACGCGGACGCACCGACGGAAGGCAGACGGCGGACGGCGGGTACCTTGCACTGTGTACAGGTAAGGCCTGCATGCTCTGGTTTAGGGAATGCTAAAGATTTTGGTTCCGTGTCAAATTTTTTTTATTATTATTTTGAACCGTTGAAGGCAGCCTAATAGGCAATGAAATAATGTGTATTAAATGTCCAAATTTGCATCGCCAGTCCCCCCCAATCGCCAGATAGTAATAAAAAAAAAATTTCGGAGGGGATACGTGCCCCCGCAGGCCCCCTCCTCACTCCGCCGTTGACTGGCGGTGCAAATTTGGACATTTAATACACATTATTTCATTGCCTATTAGGCTGCCTTCAACGGTTCAAAATAATAATAAAAAAAGTTTGCCACGGAACCAAAATCTTTCGCATTCCCTAAACTAGAGCACGCAGGCCTTACCTGTGCACAATGCAAGGAACCCGCCGTCCGCCGTCCGCCTTCCGCCGGTGCGTCCGACGTTCTCCATACGCCAGTGTCGGTGAGTCCACGCTTTCCCATTTCTCTCACTGCGGCTGCTACTCTGAGCTCTCCATTCTATTATTCCATCTTGGATCGGGCCGGCTGCAGGTAAGGAACTTAACTTTTTTTTTTTGTTATTTTATTTTCTATCCTTTTATTTTGGTTATAAGTTTTTTTTTTTATATCTAAACTTATAATTTCATTTACTAAAAATTGATGTCAGTGTTTTAGTGTATTGTTTAAGATTTAAAAAATAAAGTATATGAATTTGTTTACTTGTTTGGTGGTCATAGGTAATTTAAAAAACATGGAATCCTAAATAAGAAATCTGAATTTGATTTAGATTTGTTTTGTGCTTCGTTTTTATTTTTATAATTAGATTATATTTTTTATGTTTTATGTAGTTTACAAATCTAGATTTGTACAAAGATTATGGAGAAATATTTTAAGAAGTCCTCAAAATCCTCCGTATCAACACCAATTGAGAGTACAGAAATTAAGGATGATGAACAAAATAAAAAAAGAATTCGAGCTGAAGGTTAATCATCAAAAAACACAGTAACAGATCTAGAGAATCTTCAATCGGATCCTGGAATACATATGCCTATTTCTGATTTCAGCTTTAACATGCGTGATCAAATTCGAAGATCATATTTACAAAAAGGGCCATGTCAGCCTCGCAATCATGACTTCCCTAAAAGTAAATTTGGGATGAAAGAACGACGTTTCAATCCGAGATGGTATGATAGATACTCTAGTTGGTTAAAGTATAATATTCTGAAGGATAAAGCATATTGTTTGTATTGTTATCTTTTTGGAGTAGAAGGAAGAGGAAAAGAAGAAGAGGATGCATTTCTGGTAGAATGGTTTCTCAAATTGGAAAAAACCTGATAGGTTTGATCTTATATTGGAGGACCTAATAATGCTCATAATAATGCACGGCAAATTGTGAGGATTTATATGAATACAAGATCAACATATAAACTTTGCCTTCCAGCTACAATCTGATCGAGCTACAAAAGCATATCGTGTCCGCTTGAATTCTTCTGTTGATTTGGCGTAAAATTCCTTTCTTCTACGACAAGTTTAGCATTTCGCGGGCATAATGAGGAGTTTTGATTCCAAAAACCAAGGAAATTTTCTTGAGTTATTGCAATTTTGCAGAACATAATGAAGATATAAGTAATGTTGTATTAAGAATGCGCTCCAGAGAATTTGAAATTAACTACACCTGATATTCAGAAAGATATTTGTAGAGCCATATCTATTGCAATTACAGACTACTAAAAGCAGAAGTTGGTGACAGTTTCTTCTCTATTCTCTTGATGAAGCTCGTTGATGTGTCAGGGAAAGAACAATGGCTGTCGTTAACGATATTGAATGAGAAAGGACTAATATTGAATGTTTTTTGGGTATTGACAGTTCCTCTGAACGTCAGCTTCGATGTCTCAAAAAGGAGTTGAACAAATCCTTTCAATTACAATTTGTCGCATTCTGAAATTCTTGGTCAAGGTTATGATGGTGCAAAGCACATTGAGTGAGGAATTTAATGGCCTAAAAGCACTTTTTCTGAATGATACTAACTCTGCATATTATTATCATTGCTTCTACACGCAGCTTCAGTTAGCGTTAGTGCAGTTGTGAAAAATCTTGTTCAGATTTGCACTATTATTACATAATTTCAAATTGTGATGAATATTGTGGGTGTCTCATGCAACGTCGTTAATCAACTAAGAGATAAACAACTCTATTGACATTAAGTGCATTACAAAAGGTGAGGTGTTCACTGGACGATGATTAAATAAGAAATATCTTTACGGCGTACTGTTGAAACCGATGGGGTTCTCATTATGAGTCACTAATCAGATTAATTACAATGTTCTCCTCAGTTGTTGATGTGCTTGAAATAGTTTTGGAGGATGGCATAAGTTCTAAAAAGAGAGGGGAAGCTTTTGCATTATTAGATTCAATACAATCTTTTGACTTTTATTTTTGTCTGCACTTAATGAAAGACATACTTGGAATCACTGCTGAACTCTCAGATGCTTTACAAAGGAAAGATCAGGACATCGTAAATGCTATGTCTTTAGTTCAAATATCAAAAATCAGATTACAAGATATGAGAGATAATAAGTGGGATGACTTCTTTAAAAAAGTGTCATTATTTTGTGTTGAACACAAAATTATCACTCCGAATCTAAATGATAAAAGGGTTGCCCGCGGACGATCACGACGTGGGCTTCAAGAAATGACAAATTTACATCATTACCCAGTTGATATATTCTACATAGTACTTGATATGCAACTACAAGAGTTGAATAATCGTTTCACAGAAGCTAATACTGAATTACTTTTGTGCATTGCTTGTTTAAATCCATCAAATTTGTTCTGTGCATTCAACAAAGAAAAGTTGATTAAAATGGCAAACTTATATCCAAGTGATTTCACTCCTTCTGATTTGATGATTCTTGATAATAAGCTAGAAACTTACATTATGGATATGCGGCTTGATGTACAATTTTCATTATTAAATGATATAGGAAGTCTTGCTGAAAAAATGGTTCAAAGCAGAAAGGAAATACTATATCCTCTTATTTTTAGGTTATTGAAGTTGGCATTGGTACTACCCGTTGCAACAGCAGGAGTTGAAAGAGCATTTTTTGCAATGGCAATCATAAAAAATTGGCTACGCAATCGAATTGGAGATTAATGGATGAATGATAATTTAATCGCTTATATTGAAAAAGAAATTTTAGATTATATTGATAATGATGCTATAATTCAGTTATTTCAAAATATGAAGAATAAAAGGTATAAGTTGTAACTTGTAAGTGTACTTCATTTTATGTTTACTAGTTTGCTTTTAAACCAAAAATTTTAAAACTGCCAATGCCGGTCCCAAGCCCGGATGAAAAAAAATTGAGGGAAGATTTTAATAAAATAATTTAGGCCCCCCCCCCCCTCTCAATAAATTTTCTGGCTCTGCCACTGTCTATATGTACATTAATCATCTTGCTCCTTCGAGCTATGGGAGTTTGTGTTAAATATACTTGGAAGATCAGCATGAAGATGAGAACATAATGATTTAAGAAGATAAAATGTTAAGGAAATTAATATATTCGTTAGAATTTCTGAAAATGCCATTTTTTCTTTTACATTATGTTACTTTAATTTATTCTTTAAACTAAAATGCTTGTATTTGTATCAATGTTGATATTTCAAATATTTTTTTTTTAAACTTCTGAACGAATTAACATAAATTTTTCTTGATGGAAAGTCTGAGAGTTTCCAAAGTTGAAAATGTTATATTGTTATCGAAACTAAAATTTTTGCTACTATAAACTAGATACTAAGTATCTATTTAATGAGTAACCTTAATCGAAAGTGCTCTCTTGTTATCTAGAGGGGTAATAACTATAGGAATTTTTATTAGATCCGGTGTCCTGACGTAGCTCTACATTCGGACTCCAGTAAAATGGTGTCACATGCTCTTACTCTTTACTGTGCGGCCCGACGATTGGACCCGGATCGGACCCGAGATTGTTATGTATTGGCTGATTTGTGCAGACCAGGGTATTGCTAGGTATTGCTCGATATTGTTCGGCAATAATGATAAATATTGTTCTATGAAGACCAATACCTAGCAATACCGAGCAAAACCCCAGTTTTGCTAGGTATTGCTCGGTATTGCTAGGTATTGCTCGATATTGCTCGATATTGGTCTTCATAGAGCAGTATTTATCATTATTGCCAAGCAATATCTAGCAATACCGAGCAATACCTAGCAATACCTAGCAATACGAGAACATAGTAATCCCGGGTTTCGGTCCAAATAGGGTCGTCGGGCCGCGCGGTAAAGTGTAAGAGCACATGGCGACATGTTATTGGTGTCCGAACATAGAGCTACGTCAGGATACAAGACCAAATAAAAATTTTAATTATAGGGGCTTGCATCTTTAGGAAACCAAAACTCGGATCTTAAAGTCCTCGCTAATAGGGTGAAATCTCTAGGTACTGTTCTATCTCTTTCTAATATGTCTTCCAAAAATTCCCCCAAAACTTTATCCATTAACTCTCCTCAAACTTTTGGAGCCCACAAATTTCTAGTGTCTCTGATGGAGATGGTTTCACTTTTCATCTTTGACTTGTCAAATGTTTGCATAGATGTAAAAAACCCATGGTGATTAAGGCGTGACACTTGGATTGTGTGTCTAGGAATTTCCTGCAAAAAGCTCCCAATGGAGAGAAAAGTAACCATTTATTATGATAATAAAGAAAAGAAGTAAATAAGCATCATATAGTGAACATTGACGTTTGACACTTGGACACTATGTCCAAGAATCCATCGTCGAGAGGTCCAGGCGAGAATGAAAGTAAGTTTGGAAACCAAAATCTCTAAAAAAAAATTATTCAGAAAAACAAGTGTGTAACAGAGGTGTATACTCCCAGAGATCTACCTCCAAAAAAGATTAATTTGGGGATTGAAGAGAATATTCATCCAACTTTCATCAGCACTCTCCTACTAGAAGATAAAATTAAAGAGATGAAAAAACTACTTTGTGAATTTAGGGAATGCTTCACCAAGATATATGCTAAAATGCTTAGTTTATCCCTTGATTATGGTAGTTCATAAATTAGTAATTAATCCAGACCCAACATCCACCAAATAAGCTCTAAAGTGAATGAGATTGGAGAATATGTTATTACAAAAATGAAAATGCTCATTAAAGCGGGCTTTATTCATGAAGAGATGTATATTGATTGGATAGCGAACATTATCCCCATGAAGAAAAACGATCATATTTGTATCTATATCAATTTTCGAGACCTTAATAGGGCATGTTCAAAAGATTACTTTCTACTTCCAGTGTTAGAACTATTCGTTAATAGCACGTCCAATTACAACATGCTATCTTTCATAGATGAATCATCGGACTATAATCAAATCAAGATGGTTCTTGAGGATAAGAAACATAAATCATTTCATACACCTATTAGTATATTCTA